GTCTTCGAGCTGTCTCAGATAGACCCTGTTTCTGTTACCTGTTGCTCCCTTCCCACAACCCCGAACCCCCCACACCCTTCACTGGCTCTTCCTCATATTATTGACATGTCAACCTAGACAGCTCCTTAGACTAGATGCCCGGGTACTCTGCTTGTCTGTCTCTCACTTACCCCACCTCAGCTTGTCACCCAGAGCCCATCAACTACTGTAAAAATAGGTCAGTTCTCTGAGCACCTTCCTTACTAATTTCCCTCTTCCCTTTCACCTTTCATGGACTTCTCACAATCCATTCTCCATACTCTGTCCAAAATAATTTCTTGGTTGACCCCACCTACTAGTAGTAGCTTATTGTGTCTCTAGCCTCACCTGCCACATGCCTAGCCCCCTCCTCTGCTGCCTCACCCTAGTATTGCTGAACTTTGCCCCCTCCCGGGAATCCTGTGTCCCCTTCCCTCCATTAGTCTGCTCTCAACTGAGGTACCACCTCCTTAGAGAAGTCCTCCTTGACTACTCAGAATGAATTAGGTTCCCAACCACTCTCTCTCACTGTACCCTGTTCTCTTGTTCTCCTAGAACCTTCCCTCAGTGTTGGAAACACTTCCCCCAACACATTTATTAATTGATGACTTCTTTAATGTCTGTTTTCCCCTTGATACAGTAAACTCCATAGGCTCTAAACTGTGTCTGTTCGGCTTGTTTAGGTATTATATCTAGGCCTGGGAGAAACTTACTCTTTGTTGAATAGCATAGCCACGAGGAAATATATGGTGAATGAATTGAATAAATGGAGAGAGTCTTTCCAAGTTGCTTAGAAAGTCAGTGTTGTAAAGGAAAACCTGTTTTCCTTTCCCCAGTCTTTGCTTGATAAAACGATCTGTTTTCTATCCTGTGTGTGTCTCCTAAATAGGATTTTCTATTAAAATATACTCTGTTAAAATATGTGTAGTGACACTCTCTCTGTGCTCCTGGGTGAGTGGCCCTGCAGTGCACCAAGTCACCCTGTCCGCATCTTTATCTGCTTCACAATTTCCTGTCACAGCCCCTAAAATCTTGATTTGCACAGTTATTTGTCTTTCTGTTCTTCTCGGTGCCCTCATAAGACATTCTTTATTATTTCAGTCCTAAGAACACGAGCCTTGTTGAAAGAAGAACATGCTTGGAATAAAGCCTACTTGGAGTGCAGCTGGATGGGTGGGGGTGGGCTGCTGGCAACCTCCTCAGGGAAGCTCAGACACAAGGATCTTTCAAGCCCTGGCAGGTCTGAAATCTCAGCTTGGTGCTCTGCCAGGTGTGCTTTTGCCATGAGGGCATTTCACCTCCAGAATCAGATGTAGTCACTTGCTTCCGATGGAGTGTGTATCTAGGTCTGCTGTGAGCAGGGTATGTTCACAGTTCCCGACTTGCTGAGGAGACACATATTATCTGATAGGAAAATGGAGTGACCTAGTGATGCCAAGTGGAGGTGACGTGTGTCAGTGCAGTCTCTTCTCCACTGAAGGATTTGTACGTTGGTACTTACTTTGTCTAGTAAAGTAACTTTCTCTTTCTTTCTCACTCTTGTTGCTGTCAAGTCAGAACCAACTCATAACTCATCCTCCAGTGGGTTTTCTGTGGCTGTAAATCACCCAGGAGGAGATTGCCCATCTTTCTTAGAACCACTATGGGATTTGAAGCACTAAAAAGAGTCACTTTGGAGTTTAAAGTGCAGGTCCCTACAGGCTGCTCCATGGGAGCTCCAAAGGAGACTAGCCATCCAGGATGTCTTGGCCAGGGTGTGCCTCAAGGACCCCCTGTGCATGTAAACCAGGCAGGAATTCATTATGACATGTGCCAGTAAAACACTGGGAACCACCCAAGAGCACAGTGGTAGGAAACTGGACTGTGATGTGTGGTGGATATACACAGTGTGCTATATGGATTGTCAGTGAATGAGCTACAGGCACTTGAAACTACTACAAGGACAATTGTAGTTTTGGAACTAGTATGAGGCTCCTTCATAAAGTTCATACACTTGAATGAAAGTGTTTTTATTGGGCATATATATTACTTACATATGTCATAAGTCTCTAGCAGACATATATAAAAAGAGAATGCTGTGTGCCAAGTCCCAGGTGGTGATTACCTTCAGCTGTGGGAAGGTGGGGAGGAATGCAGAGAAAGATGCTGAGTTTGAGTGGTTTTTGTTCTTGGGGTGGCTGATGAGTTCCTGGGTATTTATCATATTGTTATTTAAATTGGTAGATAAATAGAGGCAGGGATGGCCCTGTAAACCAGCATTCAGCAATTATAGCACTATATGATAAGTGATGCGCAGAGAAATCTGAGGAGAACAGAGGTCGCTCTGGCTGAAGTAGCTGGAGAAGCCCTTCCAGGAGGTGTTCACAGCAAGGGGGTCAGGCATGAGTAGAGATTTTTCCAGGTGAAGAAATTCTAGGCAGAAAGAGTATCATGAACTGAGCACAGAGATACACGGGCTCTGAGGCGTCAAAGAGCTGTCCACATCTTTTTGAGCTGTGGCTTAGGCGGCTGAAGGACATGGCAGGTCGGAGAGTTCTGCCAAGTTGGACAAACTGGTAGAAAGCTTTAACTAAAGGGTGCAATAGGGTGCTAGATCCAGCTCTGTCAGCTGGGGCTTTGGTGCTGCATCTCTCCCTCACCTCCATCCCTTAACCCTAAGTTTCTGTTGAGATTTTTCTGCTTACAATAACCAAAAGATTTGGGGGGGGGGAAAATAACCATGATGTAGAAGTTAAGAACCCCGCACAGAATTTCATTCTCAGATATTTAGTTAGTTGCCTGGAGGAGGGTGGTGAGTGGGTCTGGGGTGAGGATAGAGCCAACCAAGGAAGAGTGCGGGAGCAGGTGCTTCCAGGGGGCTGGTGTCATCCTTACTCCGGGGTGTCTTCCTGAAAAACTCATTTTCTCACTGTTTCCCAGACCCTTTCAGAGTGGGTTCATCTTTCTGATTTATTTTGGATGTGGCTTTTGAAATCCTGCTTCTCCTTTTCACCTGATCTCTTGGTCAAGCAGTCAATGATCTTTTCAGAAACAATTGAATATTATAAATTTCTAGGAAAGGTCCTGTGCTTTTGGCCTGTTGGCAGTTTCCCCCTTCACCCAGGGAGAGAATCCGTGACCCACACCCTCAGACTTTCTGACATATGTTGTGTGCAACCTAATGTCAAATTGTCTTCGACTTAGCAACTTTTGGTGGCACTTACTCTGAAACAGGTTCCCTGCTTGGTGAAACGGAAATCTGTGAACAGAATTTCAGCTTATCTCAGAGAGAGTGGGTCATCTTCAGGAACATTCATTTATTTTGTGAACATTTATTAGGATCTTCCCTGTGTCAGTTTCTTATTTACAAGCTGTGGATGCAGAAATTTGCCCCTTGTATTAGTCAGTGTGATCTTTTTTATTTTTGGTGCTCCCAAGTTTATTGAAAATATTACAGCACAGCAGATAGATTCAAATGGCTCCACGTGGTGTTTTGAAATTCATCCCAGCTGTGGGCTGAGTGACCTGCAGGTTGGACAGACTGCCAAAGTCCAAGAGTTTCAGCATTTCCTTAGTATCAGGATCTACTTCAATGATCTCCTGATCCAGGACTGAAACCTCTGGTACATAATTCTCTCTCCTCCTCCTGCAGCTTAATGGAAATGCCTCTCACAGGCCTTCTCTGAATCCTCTTCATTAAATGTGTGACATAGCCTGCTATCTTGCTCCGGAGCTTCTTGCTGGGAATAATGGTGATCTCCTCACACACACGTTTGTTCATATGGAAGTCATTACCCAGGCGCGTGTAGTATTTCTCAATGATGACCCAGGAGCCTTCTTCACCGTTTTGATGTGAACGTGGCCCATGTTGGCGAGTCCTTGGTGAAAGAGTCAGTGTGATCTTTAAAGCAAGTGAGATTGGCTTACTCCTTTCTCTGGAACCCTCACTTTCTCCCCTGGTATTTAGACTAAAAGTCTAGCTCCTTTCTATGGTCTTCTGGCTTCCTAAACTGCCTACTCAGCTACCAGCCTGGTCTCCTCCTGGTGTGCCCCCTTCAGCCTGCTTGAACTCTTCCAACACTTTCTTGTTTCTTAGACTTACTGAGCTTCTTCCCACTTGGGAGCCTTTGCACTTTGAGGTTCTGTCTTTAGGATTCTCTTTCTCCATATCATCTCACAGCTGACTACTATCACCAGGTCTTCATGTAAACAGCCACTCTGCTAAGCCTCAGGAACAGACTTTAGGCTTCTGGGTCTGAACAGGGATAAAGTCAGTGCTTTGCACCACGAAACGTGTTAGTATTGCCTTTTGTTTCTCTAACTCCTCTACCTATTAAAGCCAGCCGTGCACCCCTCAGTCATTCTCAACCATGTTTCTAGATGCCACACTCATTGCCAGTAGGCCCCTTCTGCCCATACCCTGGACAGTACTTGGCCCCCACAGCTCTCACTATGGCATGAGTGAGGTGTGCCCTTCCTTTACAGACTCATTGGCAGATAGACAGACAGTGGCAGGCTGTGTGTGACTGGGGCCAGGGTACCACCCGGGACAGGGACAAACCCTGTCATGAGGGCCTGGACAGGCTTTTCGGAGCATCCGTGCTGACATGGCCATTAGAAGACTGATGGGCATGGTTCAGCAGGCTGGGGACAAGGAGGCCACACTGCATAGCAGCAAAGAGAGGAATAGAGCCAAGAGAAAGCTGAAATGGTCAATTGAGGGGGAAAAAGTGTGGTAGACTTGGAGCCCAATGTGTGTGGAATTGGGGGTTGTGAGGAGTAGCAGCTGGACCACGATTGGGTTGCTGTGAGCACTGCTCAGAAGACGAGAGGCTCGAAGAATGAGACCTGGCCCTGCAAGGGTCTCGGCCTTGAGAATAGACTCTCCCATGGGCTTTCAGGTTGGCCCTACTCTATACGAGGGGTCTGACCAAGCCCCCTCAGCAAGTGTGCCCTTGGGGTCTCTCTGTGACCCATTTCTCACTTCTCTCTTTTCCTTGCAGGTGGTAAAGAAAGTTAAGTCAATGCAGATGTTCCACATGCCCATCACATCAGCCATGCAAGGAGACCGACTGGGCTTATGTGTGACCCAGTTTGACCCTAAATCGCTGGAGCGCGGGCTGGTGTGTGCTCCCGAGTCCCTGCATACCATCCATGCAGCCATTGTTTCCGTGGAGAAGATCCCGTATTTCCGGGGGGCCTTGCAAACCAAGGCCAAGTTCCACATCACAGTGGGCCACGAGACAGTCATGGGGCGGCTCATGTTCTTCAGCCCGACCCCCGAGAACTTCAGCCACGAGCCTGTGCTGGACTCGTTTGACTTCTCGCATGAGTACCTCTTCCAGGAGCAGTTCCTGTGCAAGGACCTGGTGCCCACAGATGGCAGCGAGGCCAACCAGCAGGCTGGTCAGACCACGGAGGGCCAGTGCCCCCAGCAGCAGTGGGCCCTCGTGGAGTTTGAGAAGGCTGTCACCTGCCCTCGCCTCTGCCTGCTGATCGGCTCCCGGCTCGATGCCGACATTCACGCAAACACCTGCCGGCTGGCCTTCCACGGGACCCTTCTGCACGGGCTGGAGGACAAGCACTATGCCGAGAGCTCTCTGCCCAAGCTGAAGGTGTACAAGCTGAAGCACAAACAAGGCCTCGTGGAGCGGGTGAGTCCCCTCCCTGCCCCTTTTCTAGGCAGCACAGGGGTCCCCCACTCCCCACTTGCAGTGAAAACCAAGGAGGCCTCTTGGTCCACACCTCTCCCAGACAGAAACTGGGCCCTTGGAGGGGGGCAGTCTGTCTGCCATGGGCACTGCTTGACTGAGCGCCTCTGCCTCACTTCCGTGCCCTCTCTGTGACAGGGTGGCCAGCCCTCCCACACAAACCCTCTTTGGAAGACAGTGTTTAGCACCTAGCCAAAAGCCAGCGCCGGCTTCCCTGAACTTAAATGGGAAGCTGCCCCTTCCTTCCCACTGTCATCATTAGGCTGGCAAGTTGCCCACATGTCCCCTGAGCCAGTCAGTCAGGCTTGTCCTCAGCCAGGAGGGTTAATGGTGGCCAGGGATGCCAAGAAGCAAAAGGTGGGGAGGTGTGAGAGGAAGACAGAGTGGGAGTTCAGGGCCGCTAGCTTTTCTGGATAGGGTATTGATGTGTGCTCTTCCTGGGTGCAGGTCTGAGGGAGGGTGCACCCATCTAGCTGACAAGTGTGTTTCAGAGTAGGCAGAATGCAGTGATCTTTGAGCCATGCAGGTACAGAAGCCCTTTAATTTCCTTCTCTGGAATCCATGTCCTCTGTTCTTAAACAAGTAGGTGAGTGGGTGATGACAGAACGCTGTCCCAGCCTCCCTGTCCCTGAGGCTAACCCTAAGGTTCAGACCATTGTGGGCCAGTGATGATGTGTGTCCCAGCACTTAGCTGATGGCTACCTGACTCAGAGCCAGCAGTGCCGGTGGTCCGCGTGTGAGACTGGGACTGGAGCCTTGCAACTTTGACCCTGAGGCTTACAGATGACCCTTTGCACCCTTCCTGACCTCCTCCTGGGCCTCTGTCTAGCATAACATCAAGCACAACATCTGGCATTAATGAGTGCTCAGGAGGGCACCCTGGCATGAGGTGCTAGACAGTCTTGTGGCTCACTAGCTCTCTGTCCTTTTCTGAGACCCAAAAGAATCTCCCCCGGAATTCCCACCCAGATCCACCCCTCCTGTCTGACCTCAGGGATTCTTCTTTTGGAGCCCTCATTCACAGCTCCCTTTTTGCTCCAAGTGCTCAGGCTTTACCCACTTCTTCACTTGACCTGGTCTCTAGTGGCTTCCTTCCTAATAGTGGTGATCCAGCACTCAGGACTGGGCCTCCCTGCCCTCCTCGGCTCTCAGGAGCACCTGGCACTCACTTGTAGACCCAGCCCAGCTAGGACAACTCAGGGTCCAACTGGACCCCAGACTTCTGAGCATCCCACAAGATGTTTATTGAAGATGAAGTTGATAAAGTATGTGTTGCTTGTTTGTCCAACTTGATTTATTAGTGATATTATAGCATGTAATTATTCTGTAATACAGTGTTAATACAGGGTCCTATGTATGGGAATGTGCACTGTCTGGTGGCCCATGCAGACCTGTCCATGGAGAATGGGAAAGGTTGCCTGAGAAGAGCAAAAGTGCTCCCTCAGTGATACAGGCTATGTGGGATGAAAGGACATGCCACCAATTTACCCTCACTGAGAGCACCAGGCTTAGCTTAGAGATCAAGAGATGGAGGCCCAAGAGCCCCAGACGTGTAAACAATGCTGAGCCATCCAGGCCCCTTCACCTTGGGCAACCATGATGAAAGAGACTGGAAGGAGAGATCCTGTGAGCCAAGGCTTTGATGTGGGGAGAGGGATCCCCAAAGCTCCTGGCGGACTTCTCTATGGGTGCTCAGGCTGGGAGCGCTCCACTCCTGGCACCCATGGTTCTAGCTAAAGGACAATTGTTCTGATGCCCAAAGAGGACTGGGCCTCCTGCACACACCAGCCTATGTTCCTCCTACCCCATTCTTTGTATTAATCACCTTCTGTGTGCCACGTATGTGCTAGATGTTTGGCATTTATTACTCTGATCTTTATAAAAAACCTGAGGAGTAGGTATTTTTCTGACTTTTTTCCCCCCAAATTAAGTGGATGACTTACAGCTTCTTAAAATAATATGTAAAATATTTGGGGAAAATATTTTGTGGTAAGAAAAACAAAACAAAACACAAGAAAAGCCCCAAACAACTCAAGAGAAAAACTAACTCAACAAAATCCACTTTTCTTCTCACTGTGATGTCAAGGCTTTGATGAAGGGAGAGGGATTCCCAGATCTCCTGTAGGGCTCTTGCAGGGGTGCCTGGCTGTCAGGGATGGTGTCAGGAATTGAACTGTGTGTCCCACCAAAATAGCTTGGCTAGAGCATGATTCTCCGTGTTATGTAATGGCCCTGTGTAAATCCTAACCTCTATTAATGAGGTGGATTAAAGGCATATACGTAATTACACATTCATCCCATGATATGATCTGAGATGTGATTAGCCAGTCACTTGTAAGGGGACTAGAGTGGGATGTCCCACCCTTAATCAGGATGCAGACCTGAGCTCACCGAAGAGGGAACAATGGCAGTCATCACTTTCTGCCATTCGATAAATAAAAGGAGAGAGAAGCCAGCAGAGAGAGACCTTGAAGCTACCACCAAAATGAGCTAGCAGTGGCACTTGTCCTTGGGTTCCTGCACAGAAGGCTTCTTCCAACAGAGAGAAAGCCTGCCTGTAGAGCCAGCGCCCTGCACTTCAGTCTCTAGCCTCCTTAACTATGAGAGAATACATTTCTATTTGCTAACATCATCCACTTGAGTTCTAGCGATAACGCAGACACCAGGTCCTCTCCCTAAAGACCACCCAGAGAGGGAGGTGGCTTGCCCAAAGCCCCATTATGGGTAAAATCCAGATTCGAACCCAGGACTGGCTGACGCCTGAGGTCTTGATATCCCTGCTAGCTGGTTCCTCTGGTGTTGAGAGGCATTCTATATTCTTGAGGAGCTGGCATCTCCTTGCTGGGAGGCAGATGCAAGGGCCTCCCCTGTAGCTCTCCTACCTGGTTAGGTCTTCAAGCTACTGCACTCAGCCTTGTGTGGACTGGCTTCCAGCATTGGCTCTGCTGTGTTATAGCTGTGTGCCATGAGCAGCCATCTTGAGCTCAATCCCATTGTCTTATTTCAGTGACAAAAAAAAAACACCAAAACCAACAGATCTCAGAGAGTTGTTTTGAAAGAGCCAAACATAGCACCATGGATCTTTCTAGCTCAAGTGATGCAAAAAGGGCTCTACCTATGCTGGGTAGATGGCCTAGCTGCTGCTCTTACAGCAGTGGGCCAGACTTGTTCTGAGTCTGGCACTGTTTGCTGCTTTGAGCAGAGCCCCAGTTGTCCAGTGACATTACAACTTCTATAAGGAAGAGAGGCTTGGGACAGGCTGGTGAAGTGGGAGACTCACTCCTGTCTACCAGCCCTCACATGGACAGTGGGGCTAGCCATGTGGCCTCGCTCTGCCTTGGCCTCCTTCCCTGTGAAGTAATGGTTGTAACAGATTCTGCACAGTACCCCTGAGATCAGGATGGTTATGGCAGGATGGCACTTGAGGTTCTGAGGTTAATGGTTGACTCCTGCCAGATACTTATAATATTATTATTGTCAACTTTTAGAGTCGGAGTAGTAAATTCCTGGAAATTGCAGCCAGAGGGTCACTTCACTCCCTTCCCCTGGGTTCTGTTATCTCTCTCTAAAGCATAGAGTGCTGCTTTCCTTTCTCGAGTCCACTGGTGACTGTCTGGAGTCATCCAGGTCCCGATGGAAGCAGCATGTGTTAGGGAGGGGGCTCAAAGGCAGTTGTCTCATAAGAATGCTTGTCCAGTTAGGGTCCACACGAGTGCCTTCTGCTCATCTTTCTCATGGAGCCTGAGTTCTCAAAATATCCATCATAACCACTGCCCAGAAGTTTCCAGGAGGCCTGGGTATCTTGAGATGGTCAAATTGAATCTCCTGGGCAGGTTCTTCCCTGCATGGCAAACAAATTCCTAGACATATGATCTAGTGAGGAAAGGAGCAGGGTACTCCTAGCTTGATGTTGGGGGCTTGACCTGCCTCAACTATGTTCTGACTGCTCCGTGGTGCTGCCTCTGCACTGGCTGCTTCCACTGACAACAAGAGATCTCAGTAGTCTCTAAGCCTTTCTATCTCTCTGATCATCAGTGATCTTTCTAGCTCCATTCTGATCATGCTTCTCTCTGTGGAGAAATGTCTCTTGGTTCCTGTCTATCTGAAGGTAAAGTGCTCTGATGATGCCTGCCAGAGCCATCCCCAGGTGCCCCTAAACTTCAGGATCAGGGTGTACACATGCTCTTCTCCTTCCAGCCGCTCACCCTCAATCACAGCTCTTGTCGCCCCATCTCTCTTGCCTTCTCCAGGCTCTGCACTGGATGGATCCTTGTCTGCATCTTTCATTTGAGCCCTTCAGGCTTGTCTTAGCTCTGGGTCCTACGTCTTTCTGCCTCACTGTGCAGGGAAGCACTGGAGGTATGAGAGTGTGCTCTTTCCAAGCAGAGTTCAAGGTAGTGAAATGGGAGCTCCAGTTATGGCCCATGATTATGTGAACAAGATTGCTATGTGTGTAACTGGAAAAGCCCCTCACTAAGAATGCACACAGAAAGTTGTACACACAGCGGAAAGTGACGCCTTCTCTCCTAGAATGTGTGGACAGTGTTGTACTGTACACCCTCCTGGAAGGGACCTTTCTTGCCTAGAATGTATGGACAATGTTTTATTACAGACACAGCTGGAGGGGGGCCCTGACAATGCATGGACGAGGTTATGCTATAGACATGACTGGAAAGGAGTCTTACCCAGTTGCAGACAAGGATTTTGCAAGTCAGGGTTCCAGAGACCTGGAAGGGGTGGAGGGATTGGCTTTAAACCTTAGCTCGTTCCAAACCTACAGTATAACCTTGGGTAATTTGCTTCTCTGAATTAAGTTACTTGCCTTGTGAAGGCTTTATTTGAGACAAAAACACAGAGAGAAATGAGTAGAAATAAAGGGACCTCAGTCCCATCAAGAAAGAAGAAGAGCTGAGAACAGAGCATGTCCTTTGGATCCAAAGCCC